AAAACGTATCCGTATCGGATACGAATCCGATACGGATACGGGACCAAATTTCACGTATCCGTGCTTCTTAGATACCGGGTATTGTTTAAGACTTCAAATGGATATGTTCCATCAAATTTTCAGGACCATTTGCTTGTTTTTTCTAGTTAGGGAAGTCGATTAGGTAGGCATGGGTTGGATTGTGGGTTTTAACATTTAAAAATTCTTGCTTCCAAATCCATATTCTAGTTTGGATTATTGACCGCTTTTCAATTCATGCCAACAACTTTTTTTCTAATGTTAATTGTTTACTAACCACCCGTATCCAACTCTATAGGTCTGAATGGTGACTGTGTACCCAATTTTTATTCTTTGTTTTATATCCAAATATCTGAGTATCACAACTACACCTGATTTATTGATGAAAAGTTATAGTAATTTTTTAACACACAAGTATTCATCTCGTTTTAGCGAATAAGCAATATATGTTAGGTAAAAAGAAGCAAGACAGGAGTGTAGTTTATGAAACTGGGACTTGTTTCAATATCAATGATTAGAAGATTACTTATAATGATTATAAAAAGATATCTAGATTTTAATTATCGCCAATTTAGTGTTTTTTTTTTCCTTTGAATAAATGTAATTTCTTATAAATTGTATTGGTATTTGGGTACAAAATAGGCAAGCATGTGGGTTGCAGTGTGAGATTGATTAACACCTGTTTCTGTATAAGGAAAACCCTGAACTTATTCTGCTTACCACCTGTTTAAATGTTTCCAGTGTTGTGCTATTTTCATAGTTAAATGGTCCCTGCAGGCAGTTCATGTTGCTGCACAATATGGACAGACAGCTTTTCTAAATCACATAGTAGTAAAGTACCATGCTGATTTTGATGTGCCTGATAATGATGGAAGGAGTCCTCTTCATTGGTATGCCATGAAACTTTTGATTGCTATGCATGGTGAAGAAACCTTATTTTGATAATTACTTGATTGTCAATGTCATGGTTCCACCATTTGTTTCTTTCCTTTGCTTTTGATGCACAGATGCACTCATAAAATTAGTTCAAATCTCTCATTTAAATACATAATGTGGATTATGCTTTGGCTAAAATGTATATTTTTTTTTCTAAACTAATTAATTTAATGGAGTATTGACCAATGGAATGTTTCCCTGCACTTCATAGAGTTTTGATGTGCTTTAGGTTTGTAAATGTATTGTTCAAATTGCTGAAGCTCACCCTAAATGGTTGTTTCTAATAGTAATGGTATGGTTGCTTATTCAACAAACTAAATCCATTGAAGAGAATGATTTTTTTTTCTTGGTTATTTGACTTATTTAATTCTCATGGCCAGGGCTGCATATAAGGGATTTGCCGACACAATAAGATTACTCCTATTTAGAGATGCAAGTCAAGGAAGGAAAGATAAAGATGGTATGCCAAGTTGGCATTTAATTTCCTTTACATTTTTATAGGTTCCCAATTATATGTTATATATATACGAAATCTCTCTTCTCTCTCTAGTTTTTAGTATTTGGTCAAGACAGTCCAGCATAAACATATTTGAAGCCAGCCTATAATATGCTGAGATTAGCTATTCTTTAGGATGGCAGTAGATGTAATATGGAATTCATATTTTTGAATTTTTTTATTAGCTATTCTTTAGGAAATTAGCTACCCAATTTTTTTTGTTTTTTTTTACCCTCTTTCTCACACCATTTTTGCTATTGAGCATTGAGATGGTTGTCAATTTCCAGAAATGTTAACCATTGTGAATCTGATCAATTGTTAATGTAAAGGCACTATTTTTAGATGTGACATTTATTCTGTATTTTGACCTTTACTCGAATGCAGGCTTCAGAATCACAACATGACTACTAACGATGCCTATCAATATTTTGTACTGAAGGCCCAAGAGATAGCTGTTAACTTTGGTTGTTTGTAGTGATTTGGCTTGTCATATAGATG